ACAGATGAGACAAATACAAAAGAATAGTAAAATACCAGGTTTCAATGCAAATATAACAGTAATTACATTAACTAAACAGACTAAATACTCTAATTAAAAGTCTAAAATTCTCAAAATAGATTAAAAATAAACAAAAATATAACCAATCATATGCTGAGTGTAACAGATATGCCTAAACAAAAGGATGAAGAGATGTTAAAAATAAAAATACGAAGAAAGATATACCATGTAGACACTAAAAACAATACAGAATTGGTATGGTCCCAAGAATTTACACCATAAAAACTGGCTAACCCTATGAAGTAAGGATTGTTTCTCTTTTCACCCTAGAGAGCTAGTTATTAAACATTTACCAGCATACCTCTGGATAAAGCTATGGTAAATTTGAACGCAACTAATTACAAGTATAAAGCAAAAATGTGGGAGGTAAAAGGAGAAACAGGCATATACATAATCACAGTTGGAGATTTTAACACACTTCCTTCCTATAACCAGGAGCAGACAAAAATAAATTTGCCCAATATAGATAAGGAAACAGAGAATTAGTGACTTAACCAAGTACTCAAAACCAGTGAGCGAGAGGGTTAGAACTGAATTCATGTTTTATGCATCTAAATCCAATATTCCTTCTGCTCTGGTTTTATATTACAAACAACATTTATGATATTTATTTATAATGACCACTGTAATTCCTACATTAATATATACAAATGGGGAGAAAAGGAAGGCACATTTTGTAATTGTATACTGTTACAGTTGCACCTTATTTTTAGAGAGCCTTCGTATTTATTATTAAAATATAAAATGTATTGTCACAAAACAAATTATGGGGATGGCCTGGCTTTAAAACAGATGAATAACTTTATTAAGGAATTCATCACAATGTCCTTTGGTGATAACTATCATGGAGCTTATCATTGGAACACTTAAAATCTTTAATGATGTTGATGATGATGACACTGTTGCTGATGAAGACGATAGCAGCTTTATGCCAGGCAGTTTTATACTTTCCCGTGTCAATTTCTTGAATCCACTCAACCACCCAGTGAGAAAGTGTGATAGTTAATTGTATGTATCAATTTGACTAGCTATCGGTGCCCATATTAAAAATTATTTCTGGGTGTGTCTGTGAGGGTATTTCTGGGTGAGATTAGCCTTTGAACCAGTGGATTTAGAGAAGTAAATTGTCCCTCTACCACAGTGTGAGTGGGCATCATGCAATCCACTGAAGGCCTGAATCAAACAAAAGGCAGAGTAAGGAAGAATTTGTTCCTTTTTGCTTTGTCTGCTTGCTTGAGTTGGGACCTCTCATCTTCTGCAGCCCCCACACTGTATTTTAAGCTACTGGCTCCCCTGGTTCTCCGGCCTTTGGACTTTACCAAATTACATCACTGGCCTTCCTGGATCTCTAGACAGTAGATTGTGGGAATTCTCAGCTTCCATAATTGTGTAAGCCAATTCCTTGTAGTAAATTTCCGTAAAAAATATAAAATAAAAATATTTTTTATATTATACATTTATAATATTACATGTATATTATATATACAATCTCTATCTCTATATCTCCCATTGATTCTGTTTCTCTAAGCACCCTAACTCATACAGAATTTTACTTTTATTATCCTCATTTTGCAATGAAGAAACTGAGACAATGAAGAATATATAATATACCCAAAGTCATACAACTAATCCACAGAGTACTCTTAATCACTATACATACTATACTGCCCATGATTACGTTAATTAAAATGTGCTTTAAATTTAATATTTCAAAAACAAAAAAAAACATAAAGTAAGGTATTTCTATATATATTTCTTAAATGATATCTAGGAAAACTACTTATGTCTCTGAAATAAGTTTTTTGGGAGGGAAACAAAAGGTATAGTACATAGACTGAAATTAGAGAACAAACTGGTTTCTTTCATTTAGAATCAACCTACCTGTACACCTTAAAAAAAAATTCTGGGGTATCTGGGTGGCTCAGTTGGTTAAGCGTCTGACTCTTGATTTCAGCTCAGGTCATGATTTCATGATTCATGAATTCAAGCCCTGCATTGGGCTCTATGTTGCTGGTGTGGAACCTACTTAGGATTCTCTCTCTCTCTCTCTCTCTCTCTCTCTCTCCCCCTCTCTCTGCCCCTCAGGCATCCTCTCTCTCTCTCTCTCTCTCAAAATAAGCTTAAAACAAAACAAAAACATTTCCATGTTCCTCAAGCAGGATATCAGACATTTTTGCCATAGCCCCATTTAAAAAAATTGTGGTAAAATGTACAACATAACATTGGTCATTTTAAATAAGTTTAAGCATACAATTCAGTTGCATTAAGTACATTCACATTGTGTGTTCCATTGTATGTACACACCAAATTTTGTTTATCGGTTCATCTGTTGATGCACAGTTGGGTTATTTCCATCTTTTGGCTATTCTGAATAATACTTCTATGAACACTTGTGTACAAATATCTGTTTGAGTCCCTTCTTTCGATTCTTTTGGGTAAATACACAAAGTAGAATTACTGGGTCATATGGTAACTCTATGTTTAACTTTTGAGAAACTGCCAAACTATTTTCCACAATGTTTGCACCATTTTACATTCTCACCAGCAGTGTATAAGGGTTCTGCTTTCTTCACATCCTCACCAACCCTTGTTATTTTCATTTTTTTTTTCTTTTGGATAATAGCCATCGTAATGAGTGTGAAGTGGTATTTGTGGTTTTGATTTGCATTTTCCTAATAACTAGTAATGTTGAGTATCTTTTCATTTGTTGGCCATTTATATATCTTCTTTGGAGAAATGTCTGTTAAGTCCTTTGCCCACTTTTTAATTAGATTGCTTGTTTTTTGAGTTGTAGGAGTTTTAAAAAATATATCTGGGATATTAATTCCTTTTTTAGATAGATGTTTTGCAAATATTTTCTCCTATTCTGTGGGATGTCTTTTCACTCTCTTGATAGTGTCCTTTGATGTACAGAAGTTCTTAATATTGATGTAGTCCAATTTGTCTTTTACTCGTTTTGAAAGTGCTTTTAGTGTCATATCTAAGAAGTAATTGCTAAATCCAATGTTGTGAAGACTTTCCCCTATGTTTTCTTCCAAGAGTTTTATAGTTTTAGCTCTTACATTTAGGGCTTTGATCCATTTTGAGTTGTTTTGTATATGATACCAGATAAGGGTCCAACTTCATTCTTTTACAGGTGGATATCCAATTTTCCCAGCACCATTTGTTGAAAAAACTATCTTTTTCCCATTGAATGGTCTTGGCACCTTCGTTGAAAATCAGTTGACCATATATGGGAGTATTTATTCTGTGCCATGACTTTATTTTGTACAAATAGGAAATAAGCCCTGTAATCCTCTTATAGGTATGTAACAGATGCTTTCTAATAATGTAAACATACAAAAGGACTATTCCAGAGGGCCATCATATGTAATAAAAGGATATGGTTGGGGTGTCTGGGTGGCTCATTTGGTTAAGCGTCCGACTCTTGGTTTTGGCTCAGTTCACAATCTCATGGTTTGTGAGTTCGAGCCCCACATCAGGATCTGCACTAGGAGTCTGCTTAAGATTCTCTCTCTCTCCTTCTCTCTCTGTTCCTCCCCCACCATCTCAAAATAAATAAATAAACTTGAAATAAAAAAGGATGTGATCACAGAAGAAGAAAAACAAATACCACCAAAAAAGATTTAAAGCATATTTTTATTATAGATAAGTATGGTTTGCTGTGGCTAAAGATATGTTTATAATGAATGTATAAGTTTTTCTATATACCAAAAGGTATAATATTTCTCTTTTAATACTGATCTAACATTTCTCTGACAACAAGGGAAGTCTGAATGGGCTGAGCCTATTTTAAATGGCTAAAGACTTTTTTTCTCCTGAATGTTGCTTTAAAGACTGGTAAGTTGAATTATTTTAGATCCCAACACATTAAATTTAAGAATAATGAAATAAAGTCAATGAATACTACAAGACATGTAATTCCTATGAAGCAGAAATAATGGTTTTTATAATTTAAAACAGCAGCAATTTCAAAAGATTTGCTGAATTAAAACTTTACAAAATATATATATACATAGTATCATTCCAGATGATCATGGATTTTTAAACATAGTATATCACAACCCCAAACTCTAACCCAAACCTACTACTGGATGTAGCTGGCTTGTAATATTTTTTACAACAATTTAAAAAATAAAAACAAAAGAAACCTCCCAATTCTCTTGTGCATAAGCACAGGTTACAGTGCGCTGGCTTTGCTTCTATATCCACAAAGAGAATTTTAAAATAGAACAAGGACTTCACATAAATAATGTTCCACTTGTTATTAAGTATGTAACCGAACAAATTAAAATAAGTACTAACAACCAAAACATGTCTTGATGTAACCAGTACATACACTCTTAAAGAATGACAAAGACGAAAAAAGAAATAAAATAGTCTATGAAAGCCACAAGCACCTTGTTTTAGAAAGAGCACCAAGCAACACAAAAAGGCAACACGTAAGAGGTAGTGTACCACCGGCTAAGATGTATATGCCCATCGGGGACCTGAATACAGCTTAGTATTTGGGAAAATAAGACATATTAGACTGTGGCTTGTAATTTTTAGACAGAAGCATTGCACATTTGGGAGCATTAGCCAGTATTGCTTCCATAGTGCTCTGCAGCTCCAGCTGTCTAATGGGTACTTTGCTCTCAGTCAAAAAATATAGGATACCCTGAAGAATTCCATGTTTATAAATTTTCAGTTCTAGGGAATTCTCTAAGAAAGCACAGATCAATATAATTTTTAAAAGAATTAAATACTTTATCAATTATAGTCCTTTAAAAATGCCTTTTCTCCTTCTTAGGAGGAAATCTTTTCTTCCTGAGATTCTTTAAGATTTAGCCAATGCTTTATTCCATGCATTTCACAATGATAGTATCTTTCTGTCTATATTTTTCCCTCTGCAGCAATTACCTGGCCAACAGCAAGAATTCTGAACTAATTCAGAAACCTTAGAGAAAGCATACAGAACTGCTTTCAATGTAGTACTTCCTTTCAGTTTTGAGATGAGGAAGTTTTTGTACTTCAATTACTGGAAGCTGATTAGGGTCCTGGGTGTGAAAAAGGAATTTTGCCTTATGCCAGCTGCCATCTTGAATCTGTAAAACAAGAACAAAGTGCTTTGATAGGTAATTGTGTCATTAGCAATCATTCTCGGCAGACAATGCCATTCGCTGTCAGACAATGCAGCTTAGTTTAAGGGTTAGAGCTAATGAATAGGAAGTCCCTAGAAAGTAAGTGCTGGCACAGAGTTAGGTGCTCAGTGGTTAACAATCACTATGACTAATTGAAGACATGGTTTATTCTTTTCTCTAAATGGCAGTATGTGTTCTGATTTTTCAGTCTATGAGGCTAAGGCTTCTGCTTCTGCTCTCTGTGGATCGGTACGAAGGCTGTTCCTAATATTCCTGATATATTCTTAATATAAGTAACACCCATCTGCTCTGTGTTCCTTTACGTGGGACTGATTCTTCAGGATGGGCATTCTTCTTGGATGAAAGGCAATGAGCTATCTCAACCTTTATGTACTTTAGGTAGGAAATAACCAGAATTGCTTCAGTCAGAAGCAAATTATAATTATGTAAATCATCTTTTAGCTTTCTTTATTGCCAGTCTGTGGTTACTGTTTATATAGTTTCTTTCCTCTCCTCTTTCTAGGCCTTTCTGTTTTTCTTATATACTATATGCTCTTTTGTTTCTGATAAATTTTACTATGGAACAAAAACACCTTATGATTATGATTCAACAAGATAAAATAGATAAACACAATTGACTAGTTTTGTGAAGCTTTCTATTAAGTTTATTCACTTCCTCATTTACTGAATTATTATATAAATTTTAATATTTGAAGGATCCTTAGAGATTATTTAAGCTATGAATTCCATGTACTAGTCATCAGCTTGGTGTTATAACTAGAACTAGAGTTCGGTGTGTAAGACACCATTAGATTAACTCGTTAAGTCTTTCGAGCAATATTTATTGAGCACTAAGTACAGTTGACCCAGTTGAATAAGATTCAATCCTCTACTTTCTTACAGTGCTTGGGAAATATGAAGATGAATAAATTAGTTCTGGTGTTTGAATACTAGCAGCTTATACATCTAGTTGGAGAGAGGGGAAACGCAAACAAATAGACATAACACAAGACAATATGCCAGAAGTATAATATAAATAATGTAGACAGCGAATGCTGAATTCCTCATTTCTCACTGAAGTACTCAGGGGAAGCTTCATGAGTTCAGAATTCAGAACTTAAGATGGGCTTTAACGTATGCCTAAAGTTGCCACTTGGTTAGAGAGGGAGAGAAGGCATTTCAGAGAAAGGTAATGACATGAATAAAAACAAACATACAAACAAAAAAACAGTTGGAAAAGTAGAAGATGGTTGCAAAAATAAGCCTAGCGTGGTGTTTTAGTGCACAGATTTTGGCCTGGAACAGACTTTGATAGAAATCCAGGTACAACCAGTCTCTTTACATACAAAATGTGAAAAATAAAAACCTCACACAGTTGTGAGGATTAAATGAGTTTTCAGTTAAAGTACCTACCTGTATGGTGTGGCATGGGCTTTGGAGTTAAACACACTTGGTGTTTATTTCCTAGTCTTCACTAATTAGCTGGATGACTTGAGCAAGTTATTTAACCTCTCAGTGCTTTCACTTTCTTATTATTAAGAGAGACTTCTTTACAAAGCTGTTATAATTAAATAAAATAATGTATGTAATACAGGGTACTTGCTATATAATAAAGCCCTGATAACTAGTAGTAGGAATTATTGATGTTATTATTATTGTTGTTGTTGTCATTATTTCTTCTTCTTCTTCTTCTTCTTCTTCTTCTTCTTCTTCTTCTTATGTCGGTTTGGTCTTAGCTTTGGGTTGACAGTCAATCAAAGCCCACACTAGAAATGTAGGTTGGGGCCTGACTGTCCTAAGTGCTAAACAAAGACCTGATAAGTTTGGATTGTATTTCAGAGATAGTGAGTCACTGAAAGTTTCTGGAAAAAACTGTAAAAGTTAAATGAAATTGTTGGTAATGTTGATCTCTGCTTATAGAGATGAGCTGTATGTTTGCCTCTCATTTTTCTTTTTTTTTTCTTTTTTTTTAATTTTTTTTTTCAACGTTTATTTATTTTTGGGACAGAGAGAGACAGAGCATGAACGGGGGAGGGGCAGAGAGAGAGGGAGACACAGAATCGGAAACAGGCTCCAGGCTCTGAGCCATCAGCCCAGAGCCCGGCGCGGGGCTCGAACTCACGGACTGCAAGATCGTGACCTGGCTGAAGTCGAACGCTTAACCGACTGCGCCACCCAGGCGCCCCTGCCTCTCATTTTTCAAATACTCAAGCCCTATTTGTCTGAAAATAAAATGTTGTGAAAAAGTAGAGTCCCTTAGAAATGGTAAGAGATGTTAAATCACTAGCACACAAGAAAAGGAAACCTAGCTACTTAAAGCCATTAACGATACGTATATAAAGTGGATATTATTCTCTATAACAGGGTCAGGAAACTCTTCTGTAAAGGGCTAGTAATAAATGTTTTAGGTTTTGTGCACCATACAATCTGTCACATTTATTTAACTCTGCCATCATAGTGTGATAACAGCCATAGATAATAAGTAAATAAACAGGGGTGCCTGGGTAGCTCAGTCAGTTGAACAGCCAACTCTGGTTCAGGTCATGATTTTGTGGTCCTGAGTTCAAGCCCCGCATCAGGCTCTGTGCTGACAACTCAGAGCCGGGAGCCTGCTTCAGATTCTGTGTCTCCTTCTCTCTCTGCCCCTCCCCCACTCACATTCTGTCTCTCTCTCTCTCTCTCTCTCAAAAATGAAAAACATTAAAAAAAGATTAAAAAATAAGTAAATGAACAAATGTGGCTGTGTTCCAATAACATTTATTTACAAAAACTAGTGGTGAGCTGGAGTTGGTCTGTGGACTATAGTTTGCCACTACCTGCTGTTACAGATTTTTTCATAAAATTATAGATTTTTTCATAAATTTGTTATTTAATTTTAATAGGAAAAATGGGCTATGATTCAAATATTGTTTGGTAGGGCCAGCCAATCTGCAAGTCTGCCCACATTTGGTATCGGGTGTAGCAACCGACAAAATGAAATACAACTGACTTGCCTCTATAACCTGTCTTCCATGAAATAATGAGATGTGGAATCACAGTGGTGAAAATATATGGAAGAAATCTACTTATATGCTCTGTCCATCTAGGTGTAATATAATTATTCAAGATGAGGAACAAAAATTAAATCTATGTATTAACATCTATTGCATATAAAAATCCATGGATGACCAATGTGTGTGACAAAAGTTGACGAGATATAAGCAAATGCTTGATTCTGAAAAATGTAATTTTATTACAAATTGGGGACATTAAAACTTACTACCCTTCTGGATCTTCAGTTTACAATTAAAGTCTTATTCTGATTATTTTAATTTTATGGTCTTGTAATTTAATGTTAGTTATACTGAACAATTCTAAAAGTGCCATCCCTTACCTTGCAGTCATCTGAAAGCACCTTAGGTTCAAGTAGAGTGTTTTCTTCAAAAATCTGGCCATTCCATCCCTTGAAGCCAATAGGTAATCCTGAGCCACTTGACTGAGCACTTGTCCACACTGGTGTGTTTAGACAGTGAATAGTGATGATATGGGTGGCTTCTGAGCTCAGTAAGTGAAGGAAGTTCATCTGGACTTTTCCAACTCCAAACTCCAACTAATGTCATAGAAACAATATACAGGTTATAAGATGTGGCAATTGATAAACTTATAATTTGGGGGAATCTGAGGAAAGTCCTTGGAATGCAGCCTTGAGAAAACTACTTTCCTTGGCATTTAAATGCCAGTCAACAGCGTATGACTGAACCACTGGCTTTTGCAGGGGTGGGGAGCAGGGAATCCCTGATTTATAGCATTTTCTGATTTCCATGGTGTAAACACTCCTACCATGCCTGATTTCAGGATATCATGGTGGTGTCACTGGACATGGAGTTGGAAAGAGACACAACTCTTTCTGGATGAGTCTGTATGAGCCGGCTTCAGCATACCATTAGACTACTAGATGTGACAAAAAAAATTATAATTTTTATAATGTTATCTAAAATGCATTAATAATTAGTTGTTGACTAATAATTTTTTCCACAAAAATCTGAAATTGTGTATACTTTCCTTGCAGATCGTTTTTGGAGTTTCCAAAGATAAGTTAGAAGTTGCAATAATAACTTGTTGAGTAATTTTAACTATGACTGAATGCATAACAAGTATTAATAATAAAGTCAACAATATAGAGCAAAATTAGAGCAAGGAGGTCTGATCGCATATTTCCCAGGCTTGGGCAAGGAAAGAGATTTTTCCTTTTTTTCTTTCTTTAATTTTTTTTTTAAATTTATTTTTGAGAGACAAGAGAGAGACAGAGTATGAACAGGGGAGGGTCAGAGAGAGAGGGAGACACAGAATCTGAAGCAGGCTCCAGGCTCCGAGCTGTCAGCACAGAGCCCGATGCGGGGCTTGAACTCACAGACTGTGAGATCATGACCTGAGCTGAAGTCGGACGCTCAACCGATTGAGCCACCCAGGTGCCCCAAGAGATTTTTCTATAGTTTTTGACATTTATTATTATTTTAGCAATATTCAAGCAGAGGTATGGTCATAACATAAGTGAACAAAAATGGTTTCTACAAGGAATTTATATGAATTTCCAAACATGAAATTAGAAAAATATCAGTTATGAGCTAACAGAGAAAGAAAAAAATAAAACAACAATCAAAAAAGTAAAAGGAACAGAGAAGAAAGGCAAAGGAAGGTCAGTGAGGCTGAAAACATGGAAGGATCATCATAAGGAACATTAGAGTTTAAATAGTTCAGTTTCCTTTATTTTACAGGTGAGAGTCACAAGCTTGTAAACTATTTAACCTTTCTAAGACTTAGTTTCTTTGTTGGTAAGGTAGCGTATAACACTGACATGGCAGGGATGCTATAAGGATTTAAGGAGCCACATGTCACCTAGCACAGTGCTGGCACAGAGTAGGCCCTTTGGTGGCTCAGAGTGCCATTTGCCAGGGTAGTAGAGGAAGAGAAACTAGAACCCAGGTCCCTGATTCCAAGTTTACCATTCTTTCCACTACCTGCCCAGTCTTTCTCAGGTTGAGTTTACAGATAGGAGAGATGGGAGAGCTGATTCAGTCAAGGAAGGAATTGGAGTGCAGCTCCTTCGCTACTCCTGTCTCCTTTGCACACCCTTCCCAGTCCCCATCTTTCTTCTGTGATAATCCAAATAAACATTCTGGGCCAAATCCAGGGGAGTGAGTATGATCATGCAGATATTTTGCAAGTAAGATTATCATGCTGATCTTCATCAGAGGAACATGGATTCCCTAGGAATGGAAGAATCTTTCCTTCCTCTGCTTTGAGGTTAGTAATAATGGTGAATACCTACTGAGATGAACTGGTGAAACACCCCGGTTAGTGAAGAGGGATATTTTAGGAAAGGGTAGTCTAACAACAAGCAGTGTAGAGATTAATAGACCACACATTTTACTTGCTGCGTCTTTATAATGGACCAAACATACAACAGGCATGTGTATCCATTCTTTGTCAATGAGAAATAAGTTCTTGGTAATAATACCAAACTGGTTTAACCAGAAAAAGAAAAAAAATGCAGTTTTGATTTCTTCAGTATTTGTTATGTGTAGAACTAAGCTTTAGGTTTTAAAAGTGCTTGTTATAATCTCCAGTATCATACCAAACTAACTTTCATTCATTCTATTATACTTGAAAGAAGTTTTAAATAATAGTCAATGGATATTTAAGGCAGGTTCTTTTGTGCTAAATCACCAAAAATAGTAAGCTTTGTGGCAACATTCCTCTTTTAATGATATCATTTTCAGAAAACTTTAGGTAACTGATTACTAATTACAAACACTGGGGATTTTCTAATGTATATGTATGCATAAAAACATATGTTCCACATTTTTAAAAGGAAATTTAAAAAGCATAATCAGTAGAGTAAGCCAAGATATGTCAATCATAAAAGACATCATCAAAATGTCAAGATTCACTAGAATTACTTTTTAAAAACAAAAAATTTCTTATATGTGGTAGAGAATGACACCTTGCTTCCATTCATAAAATTCATAATTATTTAAGGTTACAGAATTTTAAAAGTTATGTTCCCTGAAACTGGGCAAGTACTCGCATGTGTTCTACAATTCAATACATACCTTTGTTACAGAAACAGGAGATAAACATGTCTGACCACCAGCACTGAAATTGCAGAAAACCTCAATGGCATCTGAAGGGCATCCAAGATTTGGATCAATCCAGTATTTTCCTATTAATTTATTGTAAAACACAAAAATACTTAAATGCCATACTAAAACCTATTTGAATCATCATTACAAATTATCATACTTTAAATATACATTTTTATAGTCTTAACTGTAAAAAAACTTAGAAGATTATAAAGATATTTACATTTAGTCAATGAATGAAAGCTGCAAGCATTATATGAAATTGATACCAAAAATACTGTATTTTTCACATGCCTATCAACTTAAGGGCATTTTATAATTTTAACAAAAAATGGTATAATGGCTGAATTTATTGCCTCTTTTTTTTTTTAAGTTTATTTATTTATCTTGAGAGAGAGACAAGCAGGAGAGGAACAGAGAGAGGGAGGGAGAGAATCCCGATCAGGCTCTGTGCTATCAGTGCTGAGCCTGATGCAGGGCTCAAATTCTCAAACTGAACCATGAGATCATGACGTGAGCTGCAACCAGGAGTCAGACACTTAATCAACTGAGTGATCCAGGCCCCCCTACTGCTTTCTATAGATGAGACCATCAGCTTAAAGGAACCGTCTAAAGTTACATAGTTAACAGAAAAGTTGCAGTTAATGTGGTATATGTGTATATGTCTGTTCTATGTGATTACAGAGTTTAAAAAAATACATACTATATACATGTACATGTATGTTAAATGGAAACAACTTCAATCTCCCTGAGGTAAAATATTACCTTTATGAATATTGGCATAAAATTAATAAAACATTCTTTGTTTTCAGACAGAAAAGGTACAATTAAATGGTTATCTTTTTTGTGGTTTCTTCATCAGATTTGCAAGTGAGAAAAACTGAAGTCCCTGTACCGAGTGTAAACCTGCCAACCTTTGCCTTCACTGACTGCTCAGCAGAATCAAAAGGAGTCTTGAAAGTCAGTCTACAGGAAATTCTCAGGCTGAAGAAGGATTGATCTAGCATCTGAGTTCCAGAGTAACGGGCTCAGAATATTGCAGGAGCACCTTATTCTAAAAGCAAAGACTAAGAATTTTTAAATGAGAGATAGCTCTGCTTTCTTGCATTAAAAAGGCAAGACAATCAAACAGTACTTGTCATTTCTTCAGTAGCGAGGAATCCTTGTCTTTCTTACCCTATTGCAAAGATTCCTCTCCTGCAACCTGGGCTTCCTCTGGTCCATTATTTTAGATTTCCAGAACATCTTCAACAACTCTTTACTAACTCTACTAATCTTTCAAAATGCATACCTCCTGAATTGGTGGCTCCAAAAGTAGGGACTCTGTTGCAATGTTTTTCAAATTTTAGTGGCATTAGAAACATCTGTTAAAACAGAGGTAGCTGGACCCCATCCCCAGAGTTGCTGATTCATTAAGTCTGAGGCAGGCCTTGAGAACCTGCATTTCAACAGTATCTAACTCTGGTCCAGGGACATTTGAAGACCTACTGATCTATTAAGATATGGAAGAATTTGGTGAATGAAATCCTATCCTCTGCCCCTCCCCCCTTTTTTTTAATCTTTCCCTCAGAATTTCAGACATTTTGTAAAGGTTGTAGAAATTAGTGCTGGATTTTTTACCAGGTTCTAGAGCAGGCTTCTAGTCTTATCTAATGACGTAAACACATAATCTTCACTACTCTCTCTTGTCTTCCAAGAAACCGTTTCCTTCTACTATGTGAGCTTATTAATAAGTTCCTTATAAAAAGTTTTCCATCAACCAAACTCTCATTGTTATATGGGGAAGAATGCTTTGAATTCAGGTATTATGCTGTACAACGGTGAAATGGTAGAGACTTCATAATTTTTTCAGGATACGTTGAGCTATAAATGAAGCACCATACCATAATATGTCTTTTGTAGGCCCAAACGTTCTAACCCAAAACTGGCTCTCCCATGGGCACAACACTTCCCTTGCAGCTCTTTCAAGTTCTGTCACAGCCTCTATTATCTTTGTGTTTGGAGTAGGGAAGGTGTCTTTCTTGCCCTTCACTGCCACCTCCGGACCATTCTTCCTATATTTTTCCTAAAACAACTCCATGGTAAAACTACTGTCATTATATTACATCATCCATTACCCCTTCCTCTTGCAAGCCACTTTCTTTGAAGATTTTATCATTGGATGGCTATTACTTTCATAAAATACACTTATGACCTAATTCTTGGTGACACGGATGACACTTCCAATACCCTGGCCTCTCAGTTCCTTGAACTCTTCTGCCAATGTTCTCGTACCCTTCCCCTGCTCCCCCCACTGCCCCATTCACTTTAACCCTCAACTTCCCCAGGCTGCACCCTAGCCTTTGTCATTATCTACAAACTAGAATTCTGCCATTATTTCACCTCTTCTCTTTTGAACCCATTCTCTATTGTCCTGACTCCAATTATTCTTCCATCCTATCAGGACCTACAATCCATCGATAATATTTTTTTCATGATTTCTCATAATCATGTGTTCGATTCCCTCCCTACCCAAGTAAAACCCACAGATCTTTACTAAAATTACTTCCTTGGAGACTTCCATAACATCCCTGCCCTGCCACAATTCATTGTGCTTTGCCTTATCAAATCCCAACCTCATAGAAGTCCAATTCTCACCCGTACCTGCACAGCTAAATGTGGCTGAAGAAAAATACAACTACGTGGACTGGACTCACTTTAAATTCACATGTTTGTAAGACTGCCAGACAACAACACCATGGTTCCCTAGTTCGTTCCCTCTGTTGCTCTCCTAGGTAAGTGTTTGAAACCTTCTCTTCTTCTCTCACCTTTGTTATACCCATCTCTTCACCTTTATTCTTGACTGATAACCTTTCAATGTCACTGAGGCAACTGAGGCAATGTGAAAGGAGCTTACAGAACCTCCGGCTACCACATCTCCTTACCTATCTGTGCTTGCACACATATGTTCTGCCTTCCTTCTTATTATCGTGAATCGACTGTGTTCCTATGGAAGGCTTGTCTATTACACCTTCAGTTTCAAATTCTTCCTCTCTTAATTTTCTTGAGTGTAATTCTGCTTGCTGTTTCTGCCAGTTCTCATTCATGGTGTTTTATCGACCGGTATGCCTCAGTATATTGACTGTGTGTTGGGCACTACCTTTGAGAAATGATTTGTGGAAATAATTTGAGCCCTAGGATGATGGTATATTTTATAGAAGACTTTTGTTTCTGTTAGACATGGGATGGGGGGTACTAGCAGTCTGGAATCATCTTAGTCCAAGTTCAAAGCTTAAGACTCTGAGCTATCTTCATGATGTGAATGAAGCTAGGCTATAGTCTTGTCTCTTCCAGTTTATGTTTACTTTCAGAGTGGAGCCCTTTGAAAACCTAAATCCTCACATTTGATGGGCCACAGATATCAATTTTTGACCCGAGCCCCACGAAGCTACCAAAAGCTGTATTTAGAACACACCCAGGGCAAAAGCAGTTCTAACTGTGTTCATTTCTTTGCTGTCTCCTTCAAAATGTTGGCTTAAAATTCCCTCACTATTTTGTTGGCTATTTGATGCTTTTAACTTGAAAACAAATTTTAAAAGATATTCAGCCTGGCAATTTGAATTACCTCCTTCATTACTGGAAATGGAAACTCTCTGGCTCTATAATTTTCTCTTAAAATCTGATGAAGTTTTAACCACTACTATTCCTCTTAACTGCTCTTGTGAAGCTCACACAGAGCATCATGCTGCGAAATTCAGTAGCCTTTCTCAGGAACCCAGTCGATCCCTTCCTCAGGCAAAATTTTCTTCACTACTGTTCATCTAGTTTTCCTCCTATCAGGGATAGCTTCTTCTCAGTTTTCTTTGCTAGTTTCTCCACATTTCCCTGATCTCTACACATTGAAGAGCCCGAAGGCATAGGGTTTAGACCTCAGCTACCTCAGCTTTTCTTTCTCCGCCTAGTCTTTAGGTAGTTGTAAGCAGTCCAGGGGCATTAGATACTATTGATATGCAAATGACGTCATAATTTTTACCCCTAGCCAGAACCTTTCTCTAATAGCCACCAACCTCCTTGACATTCTTACTTTATGCTGAACAGACATCTCAAATGAGATATGTCTAAAACCGAACTCCTGATTTTCCCTCCAAAACTTGCTTCTGCATCTCTCTTACAGCAACTCCACACTTCCATCCATTAGTCAAAAAGCTTAGAGTCATCCTCTATCATTCTATTTCTCTCATAACCCACATCCAAATTATCATCAAGAACTGCTGGCTGTACCTTAAGGCAGAGCCAAAGACTTGATCATTTATCACTTATTCTACTAATTCTAGTCCAGCCTACCGTCATCTCTTACCTGGATCTTTTTCAGTGGCCTCCTCAATGGTTTCTTTTACTGTTGTCCTCATTATATTTGCAATACATTAGCCAGAATAATATTTCAAAAATTTAAGTCAAATCCTATCCTTCCTTTGCTGCAAAACTTTGAATGGCCTCCCACCATATTCAGAATAAAAGCTGGAGTCTTTTGAGTAGTCTGTAAGATCTTATATAATCTGGTTTTTTGGATATCTTTCTGACTTCATTTTCTACCACTTGCCCGTATGCACTCTCTTCTGGTCACTGGCCTTTTTGTTAATCCTAGAACATACTACATATACTCCAGTCCCAGGGCCTTTGCATTTGCATTTGTTCTTTCTGCCTGGAAAGCTCTTTCTCTAGATTTCCTATAGCTTGTACCTTTACCTTCTTCTGATATGGCTCAAATGTCATGTTCTCAGAGATGCCTTATCTAACTACTGTACTCGAAAACTTCACCCCCACTCCATTTTCTATCATATCCCCCTTCCCTGCTGTTTTGTGTTTCAATATAGCATTTGCTGTCTCCTAGTGATGAAAATATTGTTGGGCATTAAAACCTTTCTGATACCTTGCAATCCATACCACTTAGTTATTTTTCTTACAAAGAAGGCAGACCTTGAATTAGATTTCAGTCATTTGTATGTCTTAAAATGTCTTTGTTACTTTCAATTCGATAGAATTTCATGTTTATGCCATCAAATATGAGAAAGAATCAAACAGAATTACTGTAGGCAGCTGTAACTGTCTATATTAGTTTAGTTTTTGTAGCAATTTAAGGCAGGAAATATCTATAGAAGTTAAGCATTTTATTAATATAAATAAAATGAATATTTTCATTGCACTTATAGAATGGAAGCTTATGTTTTTGGACAAGGGTGTGTGTGTTATGTGATGTATATGTGTGTATATATAATTTAAATAAAATATGGACTACTAGTTACCATATAGAAGAACATAACATTTTTTTTTTCAAATCAGCATATGTGTCATCGCTACATATAAGTTTTTAGCAAAAAATTTAACTACTAATATTGATCGTACAGCTGACCACAGATCCAATAGAAATTAAAATTAAATGATATATTACAGCAGACAGGGTTCCCTTATCTATCATTAGATAAATAGAACTGTTCTACTTGCTTTAAAGCTTTTCCTTTATGGTTCTATTCTAAATTCATTTTTGTACCTCTGGTTAATGGATTTGGGGCTATCAGTGTACGAATGAAAAAATTCCAAGAATACCAAACCATCTTCCTACTCACTGACTCTATAGTGATGCATTTAAATTCCATTTTGGGGGCGCCTGGGTGGCACAGTCGGTTAAGCAGCCGACTTCAGCCAGGTCATGATCTCGCAGTCTGTGAGTTCGAGCCCCACGTCAGGCTCTGGGCTGATGGCTCAGAGCCTGGAGCCTGTCTCCGATTCTGTGTCTCCCTCTCTCTCTGCCCCTCCCCCATTCATGCTCTGTCTCTCTCTGTCCCAAAAATAAATAAAAAATGTTGAAAAAAAATTTTTAAATTCCATTTTGTGTAAAAGCCATAATTTTAGGAGATGTGCTGATGGGGGCTCTCCCATGTATATTTTTTTCATGTTATCACCTTTGGCGGACCCGACAGGTACTCCTATTAACCCAGAGGTCAGTCCTCCATATTTTAATTGTTATCATTATTATGATGTGTTCCAAACATGATGTGTAAGCAAGTACTATAATTAGAGTGGAGTATGAAAAGTTGGGGATCAATTAGGATGCATAGAAGAAGACATTTGTAATGTAAACCCTCAGAAAGGGATACTCTGGCTTCAGAATCATGTCTCCCTCTAAGAGTATTTGGTTTTTGATAACATTAAAATGCTTTCCTATAAGCGTTTTATCAAAACGATTAAGATTCAAAATGAATATAGTATCAATCTCAGACACACTGAAATGATGGAATTAGACATCAGAGTTTGAGAAAACCAAGAACTTACCATCTGATACTTTGTGTTCACAGTTAAGCAAATCTCTGCAGATTCGTGCTGGGTTATCTCGTGTGCCAAGAGGATTCTTGATGCTGTGCAGTAAATTGCTAAGGTAGTTCAGGGTTTTGGATATCTCTGCACCGTAGTCAATTAGAGTCACTTCAGTATTTTGGTAGTTCTGCCAAGTCATCACAGGAATCATATTAGCAAAAAACCAGAGTAGCCAGCAGCATTATTGAACCCTCATCATCAACATGGACCAAGGCAGAAGAAAAATGTATCTTTGTTGTGTGCGGTGACTTGGGAGTAGGATGTAAAGATCAGTTTATATTCAAATATAGCCATCTATTGTATATTTTATTAAACTGGATCCTAAGTAAGGGATTAAATTCACTCCAAAAGCCTAGTTTTCAAGCTAACATAAAACTTAACAATTATTATGCCCACTGTAGTATATTATTTTTTAAGAAATTATACATTGAATAGAGTTTAGTCAAGAAAAATGAGTAACAGTGATAGATCCCATTTTAAGAAATAGCTAACTTCATCAAACTATTTTCTTCTACAGTATCTAATTCGTTGTTTAAAAATTCCTTAAATGATATTACACCTTTTAAAAATGTTTGCCTTAAAAAAAACCCATGCATATATTTCTGCTTATTAAAAATGTTTACTTTGTCCTTAAAAGTAGTTTCATTACGTTCAATCTGTTTTAAATACAATCTTTGAGATAAAGCCACATTTTGGACTCTGAAAAACTTTCAGTTTAATTTGTATATTGAGAGTGCCAATGTAAATAAAGCCAGATATATTACCTCCATCTGTAGGGCAGCATGTGATTCAATCAAGGCTTGAATAGCAGCATTGATATCCATTTGTTTCTGTGTAAAACAAAACCATTTGAGATTAGCAGGAACATCAACACTGAGTACTCTAAAGTAAGGGCTGTAAATTCTGAAAGCAGTGCTGTTAAAGTACACTAGACTTATTATCTGAAGGGGGTTTGTAACTCTTATGGTTAGACACATGCTGCAAATTTTGCCTGGATAACTGGAAGGACAATATGCTGCCTTCATCCAAATCTCGAAAGTCTGCTAATTAAAACAGGACCAAAGTCTAGAGTCCTCAAATGAAAAACTATTTGTCACTGCTGCATAAACACACACACACACAAGTTACTCAAATGGAAGAAGAATGAAATATGACCCCCTCAGTTAATAAATTGTGAAGTGAAGAATAAATAACTGTAGTAATTTATAACAGTTACATTCTTGGAAGGAAAATATAATAAAATACTACTGTCCTGAGGTAGTCACCACATTCGTTTAATCTGATACTTCTGCGGTCTTAAAAACAATTTCTGAAGTTGGAAAATGCACCATTAGTCCCAAAAGAAATAATACAGCATGAATCCAATCTCCTCCTGCATTTAATAAAAGATATTTTTAGAGAAAGGCTCAGCATAACCATTAGTAAAAGTCTTTTTGTATTTTATTTTTTAAAAAAGCTTGGAGACTAAGAAGCCTGAGTTGGGAGAAAGTTCTGTGAAATGGCATCTGTGTACACAAATCAAGCAATCTGATTTCCTTCAGAATGATTGTGTTCCTAAGATATCTTTTTACTTGGAGGGCCATACAATAAAAACTGTTTTCAACAGATCTCTCATAACTCAAGGCTGGTAATTTGAAAAACTATTTAAAATGATGGGACAATCAATAAAATGCACTCTTCCTTGCCTCAACATGTGGTTTTCATATTGGAAAATAATTGACTCATTCTGTGCATATATACTGCCAAACACTGTGATACATATTGAGGATAAACGGTAAGCTAAAAAGAAAACTGCCCTTGTGAAGCTGAAGTTTAAGGGAGAGAAAGGCACTAATCAAATCTTAAAACCACACAATTACAAATTGTGATATGTGCTATGAAAGAAAAGAAGTGCTTGGACCCATGAAAGAAATTAGGGGGTTTCAATGAAATCTGGAGGATGAGAACTTTGGAAGGAGTAGATGAGGGAAGGTTTCCTTGAGATAGTGACATTTGATCTGAGATCTGAAGATAAATAAGAATTGTTAGGAGAGGGGGTGAGAGAGCTTTCCAGGCAGAGTAACAGCCTTGCACAAAAGCTATGAGAGAGAGAAGCATGACCTATTCAAAAAGCAGAAAGGGTCAGCCTAAAAGGGTCGGATTAAATAATTCCGACCATCATGCCTGGGTGAATGAGCAGATTTTGGACATGGGTCTCATGTCCAAAATATTTGCACTAAACATGGGCAATTGAATTAAGTACTAAATAACAGCCATCCTTGTATTTTCCAGGTGGTTTGTTATTAGGGCTTTGATCTTAGAACACATAGCATAAGCAGTTCTCAAACTCTTCAGTTTAGGACTTTTTGCACTTTTAAATATTATTAAGGGACTTAAAAAACTTTTATTTACATGAGTTATAACTTTTGGTATTTACCAAAGTAGAAATTAAAACACAAATTTGTGTTATTGCTTTAAAATAACCCATTATACATTTTTTTAAGTTTATTTATTTATTTTGAGAGACAGTGAGCACAGGAAGGGGAGGGACAGAGAGAGAGAGAGAGAGAGAGAGAGAGAGTGAGAGAGAATCCCAAGCAGGCTCTGCTCTGTCAGTGCAGAGTCATGAGATCATGACCTGAGCTGAGATCAAGAGTGGGAGCTTAACCGACTGAGCCACACCCCAACCCATTATATGTTAATACAAATATTTTAAAGTAAAACAATTGTATTTTCCAAAACAAAAAAATCTGAGAAGAATGGCACTGTTTTATATATTCATACGTATCTTTAATGTCTGGATTGATAGAAGATAGCTAGATTGTCTTATTTCCTTCAGTATTCAATCTGTTATGATGTTATTTTAGTTGAAATATATGAAGAAAATCTGGCCCTGCATAGACATGCAGTTGGAAATAGGATTATTTTAGTAATCTTTTTGGATAATTGTGGATATTCTTTGATACTATACCAAACTTGACAAATGATAATTTCTTAAGGGTTAGTTGAAATTTGAAATCTGAAATCAAGTCTATGAACTTTTTGTGCTTTTTTATATTAAAATCTATTGGTCTAACTTGAACTGTGAAAGACTCTTTTATCTACCCATGATACTGTTAACATTGCCCATTGATTATTTAGAAAATAACGGTTCATCAGGGTGCCTGGGTGGCTCAGCTGGTTGGGCGCCGACTTCAGCTCAGGTCATGATCTCATGGGTTCATGGGTTTGGGCCCCTCGACGGGCTCTGTGCTGATAGCTCACAACATGGAGCCTGCTTCAGGTTCTGAGTCTCCCTCTCTCTCTACCCCTCCCCCATGCGCACGTGCTCTCTCTCTCTCTCAAAAATAAACATTAAAAAAATAAAAAAAAAGAAAGAAAATAATGGGTCATGGAATTATGCAGATCTTCCAAATTTGGACACATTTCATTATTAATATCACACAGTTACATTTATTAACACCATCACCAATCTCAGAAAAGTGGAAGTACCGGGAAGCTGTCAAACACATAGTGGTAGATAGAAGTTTTCCCCAATTTTTATTTTTGCTTGAAAGTTTGAGACTTATCATTGGCATCGACTTCTGTCAATAGTTTCCTTGAAATGAGAGGCTTGATTCATTCATGTTGAAGAAAATATCTGCGGAGGGGCGCCTGGGTGGCTCAGTCTGTTGAGCGTCTGACTTTGGCTCAGGTCATCATCTCATGGTTCGTGAGTTCTAGCCCCACGTCAGGCTCTGTGCTGACAGATCAGAGCCTGGAGCCTGCTTCGGATTCTGTGTCTCCCTCTCTCTCTGCCCCCACCCATGCTTGTGCTCTGTCTCTCTCGCTCAAAAATGAATAAACATTAAAAAAATTAATAAAAAAAAGAAAATATCTGCTGAATACTCATGAGTGTATAATATTGTTAGTCTATCTAGTAAATATGGTGTTCTATGAAAAGAGCAGCCAGTTCAGTTTGTAACTGAGACAATTGCACAAGTGCTTTTCCTTGAGGTAAATACTATCCTCTTCAGTATGCAGCAGAAGTGTTTTTCTATATGTTCTTCTATTTTGTTCTAGAGATTGCTAAAAAGTTGTATACTCAAGATTGGAGATTTAGGAGACAGCAGAAACAGTGGAGTAATGACCTCCCAGAATTTTCTCCCCTATAAAAGCAATGAGAAAACTGGAAAAAATGTCAGAATGAAGTTTTTCAGGACTATGGAAATTAACAAAATGCTTGCAGCAATCTGGGGGGCATTTATTTAAGAAAAATATCTGAATCTTGGTAAGGGCAGTGAGCTTCATGGAACTTTAATTTGCCCTATTCCCATGTCTTTCTTTTCAGCTCTGTGGTAGCCCTAAAAATACCAACCCATAATTACAGTAAAAACAAGAAGCCAGGAAGTCATGGGGGGAGCAGAATGGGGTTGGAGTTGCTCTAAAGCATCATTTCCAGTGAATTATTATTATTTGACCTGCCTGGTAGTTACCTGGAAGACACCATTTGCAAGGCTGTCTTTATTTTACCCGACTCGCAGCTCATCCAGTGCAAAATACCTTTTCCCTAAGAGTGTTTTTCAAAAGCATTTAGAGGGAATTGTTTAACTTTGTGGCTGTCTGGAGCACTGGAAAACAGTTGGGGCAAGCAACAAGCTAACAAAAAGCTTACAAGAGAAAGGTAGGGAATGATGTGTCCCCACAGGAAATCTGAAAAGCTTTGACATATTTCTGGAAATCTAGAAGTCCATGTGCATTTGTAGCATTGTGCATATGCTTAGAAAATATCTGAGAAGGCCCTAAGCTCTTTCCTCTGGCTTTCAGTCTCTGTGAAATCAGGAAGTTAAAGCTAAGGCATAGTTTTTAATCACCTGGCAGAGCAATGAAGGGGTGCTCCAACATACACAGAGACATTTGTTAAAAACTGGGAGACTTACTGGTTCTGCCATTTAAGGAAATCTCTCTCCACTTGTTAGCTGACCACTAAGCTGAGTAGAGACTTAAGTGGTCACACATGTCAAAGCATAGAGACTTTACAAAATTCAGAAAAGTCAGTAAACAAAATAACATACAACAACAAATAGCAACAAAAATAAACCCAGGGTTGAGGGGAACAATTTTATTTCCAAAAATGCCTCATTACTTTATTTACAATGTACAGTCTTTGACAAAAAAATTACAAGACATGCAAAGAAACATTAAAGTATGGCCCATAAGCAAGCAAACGGGTAATCAGTCAATAGGAGCTGTCCCTGAAGAAGCCTAGACGTTGTACTTAGTAGACAAAGACTTTTTAAAGCTATGGTAGATACGTTAAAAAAAAAAAAAAAAAA